ACATCTAAAATTAATGATATTCACAATTTCAACTGTTAACCCAATCACATCTGTTTTCTTTTAATTCTAATGTGTTTTGTTTTGTTTTTTTTGCCTGGCTTGTACCACATAAGCAGCTTATTCAACTGTGAAAGCAATATATAAGAGTGGGAACACATTATCAGATTCTCTTACACCAACATACTCCAAAGCATGAAATTGTGCATTTCAGCACATAGTTAACTACGTCTAGTTTTTCTCCAAGTTTATTGTTAAAAACATAAATTAATGTGCCTTTCAAACATGCCTAAGTGCAAGGCCTAATAATTTTAAAACTTAAAATACGTGTTCCAGTTCCAAATTCACTCAATGAACTTACCTAGATCACCCTATTCCTGACATAAATAAAATCAACTTCATTTGCACACATTAATTGCCTACAAGACTTTTGTGTATCACATAGAAATACATATCACTGTTTAAAATCTTTGGTTTAACCAATCTGATATCTTCAAATAATTTTTTCATAAAAAGTGGAAGTTCCTAATCAATTAATTGTCAGGCTCATTAACCCTACGTCAATTTCACCAACCTTGTAAAACCCTGAAGCTATACATATTAGAACTATGAATTTGCTAAGTGCATCTTCACAATATTTAGCAAATTTTTAGTAAATATTAAAAGTTTTTGAACAAAAAGAATCAGAACCTTTAATAAAGTATTTATACTAGAGATTTTTTGTAAATTTCCAAAGACTTTACTGAATCAAGCTGAGTGCAAAGTGATTTTCATGATAAGAATAAATATACTTCTATTCATCTTACACTTTTTCTTATTTAATTTGTATAACCTCTAGGACCTCCTGAAATAATATCAAAGTTAAGGTAAAACTTTGTATTTTTCTTGTTATTTTCTCTACCCTAACACTTACTATATAAAAGTCAATGAAATAAATAATACCCTTTTAATTCTTTGAATGCATCATTTGTTGCCACATCTTCAATTAATAATATTTACAATATCATCTGTTAATTCATTCATGTATTTTCTTTTAATTCTATTGTTTTATTGCTTGGCTTGTACCACATAACAGCAGGAACACATTATTAGATTCTCTTACACCAACATACTCCAAAGCTTAAAATTGTGCACTTGAGCACACAGTTAACTCGGTCTAGTTTTTCTCCAAGTTTTTGTTCAAACAAAAATTAATGTACCTTTCAAATATAAATTTTAGAATACAACATATCAACCACTAGAACAGAATGTACCCAAACAAGAATATCACTTAAATGGCTTTCTAACTAAGCTACAAAATAAAAAACAACTTTGTTACTTCCTCTCAACTAACAACTTTTTTTGCTATTAATTACAAAAGGATGGTTGCAAGCTTGAAATTAAAAACTTTTTTATTGATTGTAAATACACACACCAAATAAGTATATGTTTTGAAAATTACTTTGAAATTAACTCTCTCACTACAGACTTGGTCAATTTGGCCAAATATGTGACTCCAAATTGACCTTTAGTTTCCACACTGTAATTTTTAATATGTTTCGTGTATCTTCACAAAATTTTGCAAACCTTTAGTAAACATTGCAAATCTTTTGTAGATAAAATATCAAAATTTGTAATAAGATATTTTACTACAATAATAATCAACACATCACAGTTAGTGTTTCCAATTATTCCAACTATCCAGCAATCAAAATGTTAAAGTTATGATTTTTTCTTATTATTGGTTATTTAATTAATATTTATTCAACTCAATCAACTAGTCATAGCTCATGAAAATACTTAACTAATCAAAATTAAGGTTAATATTTATTACCATTTTTGATTATTCCAACTATGAAATATTAACATTATGTTTGTTTTTAAAAACAAAGCTACACAATTGGTTAACTGTACTCTGCCCACAGTGGATAAAGGAACACTTTTTAGCAATCCAATATTTTTTTTTAATTGATGTTTGCTCAACTTTGGACCAGCTTGATCTGATGATTAGGAGGGTTGCCTCATGATTCTAGATTGCTTGCCCCTTCAGCAGTGGAGGAATTATTTCTTTCTTTGGTTTTGAATTGTGGCAAAGCTACCACCATCCTTAATTTTAATTTGCTGACTAGAATGAAAGCAACTTGCATGCAGCACCCACTGCCCTCTTGAGCTACTTTAGTGATAAATAGGTACTTCTATATGGAGCTCTGATATTTATTTTTTATATGAATATTAGTATTGTTGGTTAATTCTAGTGTATTCTTGCATGTTCTTTGAAAATTTATTATATTTCCAATGATAGAAGACATTCTATAAACTGACACCTGATATACATCTATGGCTGAAACTTGTCACATTTTTTAAAATCTTTTATTTCCAAAGATTTTTAAGTTAATTAAATTTATTTAAAAGGTTTTTAAAAATGTAACAAAGTAATAGATTTATTTTCATCAACAAATATTCAGTAGCTTAAGTAGTCTTATGTAAATCTGTAGGGGAAAAATCCATGGAATACTATTATTCATATTTTCAATTTGCTACAGGTTTTGTATTACATTGCATGTATGATAAATTTCTGTGTACAAGGTTAGGATTAACAAAATAACTTAATACATACTGCTATGAGCCTTAAGCTATTAGGGATAAAAAAAATAGTTTTTTAACATTCTTCATTCTAGAAAGAAAAGAAAAAAGGTAATTTAGATTTATTTTGATAAATCACTAAATCTATGTGATCATGCTTTCAGTTATCACAACTTCACTTCATCCTATCAATCTAACAGCAGTAATTACTATGACCTCACAATGTTACATGACTATAGGTTTAGAACTGGCTGGTGGGCAAACAAATTGTGCTTCATGTTTGTGTGCGTGTGTGTTTTTCAATTTTTTTTCAAATGCTAGAAATGATGCAATCTTGTGTTACTGTGGAGTGCAAAAACCAATGAAGTACTGAGAGTAGGATTTCATTTCATAATTTCTATTTGGAAAAAGATGCTAATTGGAGAAAAAAATAATTGCAGCAATGAACAGAAAAGACTGGCAACTGTAGTCAGCATTTCATATCAGCTAAAAATTATTTAAATGCCACAAGGTTCCAACCAGGGAGATAAAATGTGGCCTTACCAGACGTGATAAGAACAGGCAAAAAAATCTAATTATATATCAATTGTATAACACGGCACTGTAAACTACAGTGTGAAATGATTTCATCAAATGCTGTTAAAAGTCTACCATAAACATGTGTGTACTTATTTAAACCTACTGTGATTTTTTGCACAATTAAAATGGTATTATCAAAAAGAATACATAATAAATCTTAAAACTATCAAATTTTATTTTCCAGATATAACACTAAGTAATAATGTATCTAGTAAATGCCAAATGACTGAAGTGCTACATCTAACATTAATAATGTACTAAACATCATTTCTGGCTCACAAACCACTAGTTAGGAATTAGTAGTAGCATACTACTATTGTATAACAAGTATTACAACAATGCATAAGGTGTAACCTATACTAGATCACAGTGGTAAAGATTTTATTGATGCTGTGGCACATGTTCAAGATAACGTATATTTGATTCAACAAATATGCATGTTGAATACAATTATATCTCTATATTATATATATGTTCTACTTACCTATATACATTTTATTTACATCAAATACAACTAAATTTACTGAAACCATAGATTGTTTGGTATTAAGACGAAACAACCTAGCCATTTTATATCAAAATTGTACGAATGGGAAATATTTCAAATAATGAATTGCACTTTAATTGAGCATTACATTATTTAGAAACACTGTTGTAATCCTGCATAAGCCTACAAACTCAATTAATAAACTAATTTTACAATGACAGCTAAAGGTGGCTGTCATCTGCACCTATCTATTCTTGTCACAATATTCCATGATAATCTACTGGCTCCTAGATTTGTTATAGTAAATAATTTTTGCATATTTCAAAACAACCGAATAACATATGCCTTCATTGTCTCTTAGGTGTACATACAGACCTCTCATTAAAATAAGTCACTTAATTATAAATCAGGCAGTGGCATAGGACATCTGTCCATCTACTGTTTAAAACAAAGAGGTCTGACAGTTTAGCTTCTCCATTATTATATTTAAATTTGTCATTAAAGCAGTATTTTGCTTCTGAATCTGGGGAAGTCCATACACATAGTTTGACAATAATGTACACAGTTCTTTGCCCATAGTCACTAAAGCATTTGCCATTATTTAATGCAAAGTTTGCACTCCAAGTCACTGTGCACTTCTCATGTGATATACTTGTTTACAAATACAATTACTACTAAAGTACTGTAAGTACTAAATATTCCAGTTTCTATAATTCTAGTCTGATTATGGCTACTATACTGAGATATTCAACTTATTACTAAAGCAAAGCAAACTGTTTAAACTTGGATAATCTGGTAATATTAAACAAAATCGGTTAAAAATCTCAACATCATGTTTAACTTCAACAAGCAATACTTATTAAGTTTGGTCAAAGATTTTAAATTCTACTTCCTAGTTCTACTGTTATTGTGTTAAGTTAAAGATAAAAGTTAACAGTAAATTAATGCCAGTATATAGATCTAATTTAAAACTTAAAACCGCGGCGATAATCTTTGCGCACCTAAACTGTAAATAATAACGACATCTAGCAACTGTAGACGCACAACAGACGTTACAATTTTTATTTCTGCAGAAAGTGAAACAACAATTGCAAAGTTACACACACAACTATCTTTGATATTAGGCTTAACTAAGCACAACTCTCAGTCTCAGGTAACTGCATCAGCCACCCTAGCCTTTACTTTAGTATCAGGGTTTTGAACAACTTGTATCTAATTCTACTTCAGTAATTGTACAATCTGCCGTAACCTTTAACACAAACAGAAGTAGAAATGTTAGCGAAAAGTTTGGTTATAACTTTTAAAAAATGACTTCCCAAAATATTTTTCATCACATAAACAATGCAACACTGATAAAAACAAATACATCACTTACACAGTCTTCGGGAATATTTGCCGCAACCAAATATACCCTAATTTGAACTCCCGGAAATCTTGCCCGACCTCGGTTTACTACGCTTCTTCTCCCGTCACTGACATTAACTTTCCAATAGGTGACGCTACTTCATAGAACGAAAATTGATTTAATCAATAACACATGATTTTACGAATATATAAAATATCATATCTAATATAATTCAAAGAAATACTAATATATTATAATAAAAAGCTCAAATAATTTTATCCTGTTCTATTTCGAATATGTGTAAACATCTCTCTATAAATGAAAGTCTATAGAAGAACAGTAAGAGTACTAATACTAATGTTTAGAAATACGGAGGTTTTTTGTTTTTTTTGGCAAATTATCAAATACAATTTGTTTTATGAAAGTTCTGTACCTAACTGTAACAAAAATCAATCATCTATGCTAATTTTAAAGAAAAGTGAAGGTAGCTCAACAATATCTCCGTATTCTTCATGTTTTTCGATTTCCAACAACTTTGCCAGAAACAAATACTGTTGCCCACATAAAACAGTAAAAAGAAAAAACAGTACAAACTCAAGTATGTGAAGGTGAAGGCTTACCCCTATACATAAGACTCACATGTGAAATCAGACTGATACGAGTGATATTTAAGGAGGCGGGTGCAAGCCTACGAAAAGTGAGTGAACGATTAATATATTGTTATAAGCTATTTTTAATGTTCTAACTTAGATGTTATCTAGAGGGCAAATGACGTTAATTTTGAAAAGTTTATAAACGTAGGCCTAGAATATCTAGAATGTTCGACATGATGTCACAAAAATATAGTAACTTTGTTTATTTGTAATTAAGCACAAAGCTACACAATGGGCTATCTGTGCTCTGCCCATCACGGGTATCGAATCCCTGATTCTGGCGTTGTAAGTCCGCAGACATACCGCTGCGCCTCTGGGGGGCTATAGTAACTTAAATGAATACCAAGAAGTAAGAACACCAAAATATGTAGAGTCCTTTTAAGGTTGGTTCCTGTTTTTACTAGATAATTTATTGTGTAATTACTTTAGAGTTGTACTCCATTTAATTATATATATATATA